TTTGCATGTGGAACTGGGTGTTATGAACAAACAATGAATCATGGAACACTGCCTCAAAAACGAATGATGTAATATATGGTGATTAACATAACAATAAAAAAAATTAAAAAAAAAAAGACTCAGTCTGCAGCCTGAAGAAAAGAACTGTAGATACCCTTTCAAAAAAAAATATATATATAGCATATATATAACATATATATTATATATGTATAAATTAAGACTACAAAGAATAAAGAAGGAGAAAAGAATGAGACTAACTAAGTAAATAAACATGTTGACCATGACAAAGTGGGTGGCTAAAAACAGTCACTAAAGCCTTGAAAACAGAATGCAATATAAAATATAAGCACTTCCCTTTTATATTTGAGTATTGAAGATGAAATATTACTAATTAGAGCAAGTTTAAGGGTAATAAATTTTGACCAGTTTAAGGGTAATAAATTGTGACCAGCTTTCCAACTCCAGGAGCTAAGCATCAACACCGAATAGGGAACTTTAGTTTCTGGCCAGAAGCGGGGACTAGATTTACCCTCATGCCTGAAATGACTAGAAGAATAGACAATGGATGTGAAACAATAGTTCTCAGACACTGAACAACAGGTAGCCCAGGACGGTGGTCCCTGAGAGAAGGGAAGCGAATGAGATATGCCTTATGATTACATCAGTTTATTGCCTGAGAGGGAATTTCCTGACCAAAGCTCAGGGAGGTGGAACCCAAAGAGAGCCTGGAGATCTTGCTGAGTTGAGGACACAGGGCTCACACTTTGTGAGGCCAAGGCACCTGGAATTTCTGGGGCAGCATGCCAGAGACAGATTTCCAAAGATCTAGGGAAAGGTCTTGGGCTGCCTCCTGATCTACCCATGGATGAAAGGAAACTGCCCAAGCCAGGGAAAAGTACCACAAGTAAAGAGCAACCTAAACGGAGTATCTGTGCTTTGAGACTCACTTGCAAAACCGACATGGAACGACATGGGACCATTCCCCCAATTCCAGCTGGAGACCTCACCAACTTAATCCAATCATCACAACTCAGATCAGTGTCTGACATGTACCCTGAGTCCAGGCACCCTACAGGATAGCTTCCTCTTTTTTTTTTTTTTAAGGTTTTGTTTATTTATTTGACAGAGACACAGCGAGAGAGGGAACACAAGCAGAGGGGAGTGGGAGAGGGAGAAGCAGGCTTCCCGCCGAGCAGGGACCCCGATGTGGGGCTTGATCCCAGGACCCTGGGATCAAGACCTGAGCCGAAGGCAGACGCTTAACAACTGAGCCACCCAGGTGCCCCATACAGGATAGCTTCTGCATTGTGCAAGACACATATACATCTGGAAGACTGGACCTTTAAGCAGGGGAGAGGAGAAAGGAGTATGCCCACACTTTGGGGCCAGATATGGGTGTGCGTGGGCTCCTGGAGCAGAGCCAACACACCATTACCTGATGTGCGGCTTGGAGGGAAAGTAAAGAAACTTAGTAGCTACAGTTGTTAGTTTTCAAAAGGGGAGAATCATTTTCCCTTCTCATAGCTTCAGCTGTTTGGCTCCTGTTGGAAGACCCTGGATTATTTCTGATCTTGGCTTTACATAGTCCCATGGCAACCATCACAAGCCCTGGCTAAGTATCTCTGTCCAGATTCAGACTGTCTTCTGGAAAGAAAATTCACTAAACCCCAATTTTCCAAATCAACACCTTTTAACACATCTAAAATAGGGCAGAATGAAGATTTAAAGAGAAATAAAGTCTTTTTAAAAAGTAAAGTAAATAAAGAGAAATAAAGTAATTTTACCACACTTGACCTATTTAATTCTTCTTCAAATTTAATGTCTTTGAGTTTCAAGAAGATTGTTGATACGGAAGAGAAACAACTGGGTTCATCTCATTTGCACACATCTGTCTCCTTCTGTTAAAATGTAAGCCCTGCCTTCATTTCTTCCTATATAATATATGTTCCAACATCTGCCCCAGCATCTCCCTTTTCTCTTCCAATCCTGTCCTTTCTCATATGTTCCCATTGTGTCCTCTTTCTGTTTCAAGGTCCTTCTCTCTCCTCATTTCCACCCAGATCTAAACCCACTCCTGATACACCCACCAAATGTGCTCATGAAAGCAACCTGCCCTCAGCACGCTGGTTAAGAGCATGGGGTCTAGGGCCCATGCCCTTGGCTTCAAATTCAGGCTCTGCCACTAACTGGCTGTGTGACCTTTTGCAAGTTACTTAGCCTCTCTGTGTCTCAGTTATTTATGCAAGGAGAACATTCATAGTTCAATGGTCCCTTCCTTATCTGCAGATTTGTTTTCTGTGGTTTCAGTTACCCATGATCAACCACGGTCCAGAAGATGATCTTCCTTCTGATCCATCGTCAGAAGGTCAGTAGCAGCCTAACACTATATCACAATGCCTACGTCACAGTGCCTACATCATGCACCTCACTTCATCTCACCATGCAGGCATTTATCATCTCACATCAGCACAACAAGAAAGGTGAATACACTATACTAAGATATTCTGAGAACAAGAGAGTGAGAAATCACATTCACATAACTTTCATTACAGTATATTGTTGCAAGTGTTCTATTTAATTATTAGTAACCATTGTTAATCTCTTACTATGCCTAATTTATAAATTCAACTTTATCACAGGTATGTATGTATAGGAAAAAACATAGTATATATATATATACATACATATATATATGTATATATATATATATATATAGGGTTTGGTACTATCCGTGGTTTCAGGCAACCACTGGGGGGGACATACTCCCCCCTGGATAAGGGGGTCTACTCTTGTGGGTCTTGTAGAGCTGCTGTGAGGATTAATGACAGAATGTTCCTAAGCCTCCTGGCACAGTGCCTGGCACATGGCGGACTCTCAGTTTTTAAAAAAGGGAGCTATTATTATTATTAATAATGTCATCTTTTATTTAGGGTTTTGCTTGGTGAGCCACCAAGGTCATAAATGAAAGGGAATTTGGGTACTCGGGTATTCGGGTAATTTTTTTTTCCAGAAAAGAAAAAAGGAACAGGGTAGACTCAATGTTCATGAATTAAAATGGAGAAAGAAACCCCACAGAGGTGCTGGGCTATGAAAAGCACTGAGAATTAAACTCTATTTCTTCTTTTGCCCTTTCTTTCTCCCCACCTCAGAAACTCATAGAAAAAAAAGCTTTAGCATCTTCGGGTCCTCAGGCTCAGAAGATGGGCTCATTTCTGGATGAGCAATGCTGTGTTCAGAATCACTGGTGACCAACATTCAATAGATCCTTTTAAGCCATGTCACAATGCAGCAAAACATCAGAAGCAGAAAAAAAAAAATCGTGCAACTTATTTTTTTAACAGGTTGTGGAAACTGTGAAAAAGCTTGTTACCCTGAGGAAGAAATAGACTTACCTACAGGAGTCTACTTGGCTGATTAAGGCTTGTCCCTTTTGCAAAGCATCAGCTGTGCAGTCTTTAATTTCTCTGTGTAATTCCTCATGCCTCGCTGCCAAGACAGGCAGACTTAAACCCTCTGATTTAAGGAGCTTAAGGTAAGCTTCAACTCTCCCAAGTACATCAAATGCCTGCCAAAGAAAACATACTTTCATTTTCTGCTTTTCTAGTTTAAAATCTACATTGATGTGTACATGAAATACTAGAGATTAAACCAGCCTATTCAATTTATTAGTTTGATCATAACCAAAACAACAATCTGAGTCTGAGAAAACAGCTGTGTAGTTTTAAGGCTTCATTTAGGGAAACTGATCATAGCTTAGCTCAGCATAGATAAATGTCAACACCATAAACTTACCAAAAGAGTTTACATTGAGAATGTGTCTATGCAACACAGTTATAACTGTGTGGAATTCGGAGAGCCAAGCTTGCTTTTTGTACTTTTTGTACTATATACAAATAATGGATGAGATATTTTAAAAATATTATGCAGACTTTCACAACCTGAATGTCTCTGTGATGCTCTTAAAAGGAAATTGCCCAGTAAATTGCACTTTGAACCAGAATCATTCTAGAGAAATATTCAAGAAATACCCCTTGTCTTTCCAAGTATAAGACCTTCTCCCTGCGGCATCCAAGACATCCCTCTGTCTACAACGATTATAATTTGGTTCTGAAGCTGTGCAAAGACTAAGACCAAGGTCATATTTAGCTTCTGGCACACAAAATAGGATTATGCAGAAAAAACATCGCCTTGCAAACCAAAATATTGTCTAAAGAGAAGTTTTTTTCTTTTTTATTCCTTGATTTTCTTCCTTTATTTAGCAGATCAGCAACGAACCACGGGGGATTAAGTTTATGGAGTTAACAGAGAGTAGAGAGGAGCTACCCTTTTGTCCATTAAGGCTGAGCTGGCATTAAGATGGAGGAGTATTTGATATGAGGGCAGTAAAAGAAGGCCGTGGTAATATGAGGAAAACAAAAGGAGAGCAAAGTGCAATGGTCTTCATAGGTGTCCTGAGAGCACATTTCAGACTCTGGGCCTGGACAGCAGGAGCTGAATTAGGTAAGTTGAAGAAAAGCTGCATGGCAAGGGAACACTTGCCATGTTGCCCTTTGGCACTAGTGGAAGAAGCCACCCAATGGGATGCTCCATACCAGTCTGAAGAACACTCCTATCCCAGTAAGCCTGATGGTGCCACAGTCAGCAGTCTAGCCTTCCTGGACTGTTGAGTTGGAAGCCAGTGAGCTTGGCAGGGGCCCACCAGGTGCAGTAGGAAGAGTCCACAGAAGACTCATGAGAAATGAAAGTGGTTGGCCTCGTGGGTCTAGTCACCACTGAGACCTGAAGAGCGGCCAGAGGAGCAAGGCTGAGTTGATGCTGAGAGAACACAGTTTAAGCCAAAGGTGGAGGTGACAGCCACGGAGCTCTGTGAATGTGCTCATGCACCTGCGCCTGGCTGCCATCTAAGGGAGGGAGTTGTAATGTCAGAATCAGAACTGGACAAAATTTGAATTTACAAATGAAATCTCTCCAATACTGTCCCATCACTTATCTGTTGATATTCTGTAGTCCCGTCAATTTCCTCATGTCTCCTGAATCTGTTCTTTCTGATCACTTAAAGTGTTTAAAACAACATCATTCCCCTTTATTTAGATGATAGGAAGTAACAATATCAACTCCAGTTTAATGAGAACTGACATGTTCTCCTTCTATACTCTGTGGTTCATGATTACTTTCCATACAGCCAACAAACATTCTGGAATGTCTGCTGAGTTTCAGGCACATTGTCCTGAATGGCCCTAGATGGAAGTGAGAAATCTCCATTGTATGGTGGGGGAAACTGAGTCTCAGAGAGATTAAATAAACTGCACAACGTGATACTTCTACTAAGTGGCAGATTTGGTCTCTGTCCTAAATTTGCCTGGCCCTGAGGCCCCTGCTCTTAAACCGTGGCCCAGGGAACCATGTGGCAAAAGATTACCAGGGCAGGCTTAAGAAAGAAGGGACATTTCCAAGAAGCCCATTCATCTTAGGTGGAAAAAGTAAGATTTTAAAACCTAACTTTTTATAAATAAGTGTCTACCTCTCCTTCTTGTAGGTGAGAAAAGATAGGGCGAAAGGTTGAGTGATTTCTCTTAACACTGTATAGGACTGGAAAAGGAAGATAGTTTTATTAAAGAAACTGTGAACCTGAAGACTCTTCCTTATCTGATCCCCCTCTTTTTCTGCAGTTGGCAACAGAGCCAAATGTGTCAAGATGCCGATGTTAGAAAAGATTATTTGAATTACTTTCTCAATCTTTCCAAGACACATTGAAATGCCACTTGGCAATAGCCACTGTTTCTGGTATTTTGTTTTATATTTTAAATTTTTATTGCTTCCTTTGAATAGAGTCTCATGTTAATTAAAGTTTAGTTTTAAAATTAGTGCCAAAAACAAAAATCCGGTGTAGTCAAAATTTTCATGAACTCCCTTAAATCATGCTTAAAATTTAGTATATGTGAACTAGTGCTTATAGTAATACATATTCACATTGAGGATTGGAGCCATTGAGCTAGACTAAAGGAAGAAATAAAGAGAAAGTGTATATACGTAGATGTCAGGGCATTCACTTCTTTCTTCCCTTAAGATAATTCCCAAAATTCTTCCTGTGAATGGGGGAAAGAATAGAGAATTCCAAAGGGCTTTTTCTTCTCTACAAGTTTCACTCCACTGTTTTAGTATTAAGCCACTATAACCTTAATACATGTTTGTTGTTGTTTTGAGAATTAAAGAAGGAAAAAAATATGAAAGTTAGGGCATAAGGATGGACATGGAGTAAGTACTCAGAAAATATTTTCTTGCAATTACTCTAAATCTTGATGGGACACATCTTTGAAAAGTCCCTGAGAAGAGCAGGACCATCTGCGGCCTGTCATTCGTCCTGCTTGGGCCTTTCCTCCTATGGTCCCAAGGGAACAGCTGCTACTCTCATATCCTTGGGCATTGGTCTCATCTTCATAGGCGTTAGATTCTAAAGCCACATGTACATTAAATGAATGTGTGAGGTGACTCCACCCCCTTCCTGAATGTTATCATAAAAGTATTATATCTCAATAATATGGAAATAAATTGAAGGGCTAAACAGTCACTAGAAGGAGGTGATATATCAAGGACCAGTATAACCCATAACTTAGAATCAAAATAGCCAAATTTTCTTCTAGAGTTTTTTCTCAAAAAGATCAAAGTGTTAGGAAAGCACTGACTTATGAATTGCTCTATGTATCACACTTGATAGAATTATGGCAGAAGAAAAGAGGTTGAGTGGTTGCGTTTCTTCGTTAGCTCAACAAATATATTTGCAAATAAGATGAGCTGGGTACTGTAAGAGAGCTTATTCTTTATCCTTAATCCTAACCTAACCCTAATGGGAATAATCTAAACCCACAGAAATATTAAATTTAATGATTTTAAGAGGAGTCCCCTTTCGAAAAGATTATACTGTCTGTGATTGTCAGAATCCTAGGCAGAACTCATTTTTCTTATCCCCAAGTAGAACTTGATGAGGAATCCATGTACCAGTTCCAGAGAGGATCTAAGTATCATTGCTCTCACTTAATCTATCCCCAGAATAGAACTGAATGCTTTTCTATTTACCAGACCTATAAGGAACCTGATATAGTGGATCCAGCCTGGAAAGAATCTCTTTGTCTCACATATGGTATAGAACAGGTTGTTTTTGGCAATGACACTATGACCCCCACATAAACTCCTTTGGAATTAATATTTCCTTTTTAGTTTTCTCTTCACAGTTCCCCTCTTTCTTCAAAGCTGGTCAAATACAGGTTTTAGGACTGGAGGCAAAAAGGATATAAGCCCAAGGATAATATTTTCTCCCTCTCGGTTCTAGCGCTTCTTGACAATTTTATATTGTACCACCCAGTTCTTAGGCAGATGAGGAGACCAATCAGCTCTTTCTGCTTTGGTTTGGAAAGACTAAGGAGTTGCTTAGGGTTTTTTTTAAAGATACTAATAAAGATTTTTCTTTCCATCCTTAAGTACAAGATCCAAAGCAGGCTGGGCCAAATCAAATAGAGATGGTATCAAGACATGGCACATTTTACTCTTTTTAAAATACCTATGAGATTAATAAGTTAAGCAAGAACCATGAGTCAGCCAGGATTCTTGTATCACTCTGTATCACAAAGATGCTTAATAAATAGTATTGTTCGCTTCTAGACTAACTTATTTGAAGAGGATCAACGTTAAAAACAAAAAACTCAAGCACTGCGGAACTTTGAAATTTTCCTTTCATGAGTTCCATGGCTGGAGAATGAGTTTGGTTGGAAGCTTTATCATTACCAAGGACACAAAACTCAGCTTCTCATTAGAGCACCAAATCCCACTGTCTGCAGAGATTTCCTCTGGGTTCAGTTTTCATCAAGGCCAAAACACCACCTGAGATAACTTCTTGTGGCTCCCAGTTTGGCAAGCTGATACTTGATTCAGGTCTTGCCCAAATCTGCCCAAGCTTTCAAATGCCAGAAAGGCAGGAGCCAAAGGGTGATGTGCTTTTCAGCTCCCAGTATTTGCTGTTCCCTGCTGGTGCTCCTGCTCACTCCTTGCTTCTCCAGGATTGTCGCTACTGGACCCCAGAACTCCCTCCAGTGTTAGAAGGTAGCTTTGTGGTGTTAATGAGAGATGTATAAAATCATGACTACCTAAAACTGGTTTTGGCCTCACAATGGGAAAAGCTGAAAAAACATTGGAAAAGGAGTTTTGGATTGAAAATGGCATGTATCTGATGCATTTTGTCAACCAGGAATGGAGGAAGTGGATGTATTGACAAACTCTTACTTTTTCTGAGATAAGCCCATCTATGAAACAGATAAACTAGACCCATTAGTAGAACCTTATCAAGTGAGTCATTGTTTATACTTTCTGGTTTCTTTTATCTAAATTGACCTATTTTCGGGATGATCTTGAGAATATTAACATTTCCCAAGGGAAAATGTCCATTTACAATGTGCGAAGCATTTATTTTCTTTCATTTGTTCAACAAACATTTATTGAACTCTATGGAGCATGTACTCTGGTACATGCTGGGGATAGGAAAATGAACAAAAGCATTTAAGTCACGTTAGCGTG